TACACCGATAATATTGGGTTATATAAGATCATCAGAACCAAGATGGAGGAACTCTGAATCAGCTCTAAGGTTCCTGATGAGTCCCCTGATGAAGCATCATTGGCTCACAGAGACATGGCTCCAACCCTCTCTGACAGCTGTCAGATTAAAGAGGACAGGTTCTCTCTGACCCGGTCCAACAGAACAGCAGCTTCAGGACAAAGCTGAGGAGGAGGAACCTGCTGCTGCCATCAGGGTTTTATTGCTTTTATTTTTCCTTTTTTTATACTCTTTAGGTAACATGTTTAATTACAATGAAAGATACGACACACAGAGAACTTGGGGCACTGATTCATAGTTAAATGGGAAAAAGGAAAAAAAAACATTATAGATGTTATGCTTCCTTGCTCTTGTATCTCAGTAATTTAAACCAGCTTTTGTTGTGGGAATGTCCTTTTATATATAAAATATATGCCAGTTTTGCCATAGAGTGAATCTCCTCCATGACTTCCCACCAATGGTCTAGCTGGGGAGGGAGTTTCTTTAGCCAAGATCTTGGGCAGGACTCTATCTGACTCTGCTGACTCCTGCACACATGTGATAGGCCCGTCATGTGATGTGTGTGGGGGGGGGGGGATCAGGGCAGCAGCAGTTCCAGGCCCGGAGGTAGATAGAGTTGAGAGCAGGTTTAGCAATGAAACGATCGGCTGTGTGTTCCAGTTTTGATTTTTGGAGACCTGAGCTGCAGCTTCAGGAATAGCAGCTCATTCTGACTCTAATAAACCCAGTTGTTGGGACAACCTCGCCCTTGTTGGGGCCATTACAGCATATTTGAAGAGCCTGCCTGGATCTTGCCCAAACTTCTCCTAAGATCTTCTCTTTTGTGGAAAATTCCAGAAAATTGATAATACAAGCACTGTTAGTGAGTCTGGTGGGCGATGCACGCGCTGTGTTTTGAGATTTGAGCATCTATATTGATATTTTACAGCTCGATGTGAGCATATTAACAGGTTTTGAACTGGATTTTTTAGATTAAGGTGGGAGAGGGGCTCTGATGCAACGTCTACTGCGTTTGCTTCCAGACGTCCACTTTTTATGTTTGTAATTGTCGTCTTCTTATAAATCACTATAAATAATAATAATTAGATAATCTTATATCATTATAACTGTTCCAACATGTCTGTGGTTATGGTTCTACTTTAGAGGAAACAAACACCATACTAGATGTAAAGATATGGATAAGAAATGAGAAATAAAGCTCTCTTATCTCATCTTGTCATCTGAATCTTTCCCAAATAAAGGGAGAAACATCTTCAATACCTTTTTTCATTTTTTTCCATTAGTTGAAATAATTTTAAAGTTCAGAGAACAGGAAAATAAAGTTTAATATTTAGAATGTATGACAGGAAAATAATTAATCTGTAATTTAAAAGTATTTTAAATTATATTCTGACATTTAGAGAGCAGCTGTTTATAAAGAGAATATATTAGAATAAAATGGCTTAAAATCAGATTTAAATTGTCAGTGAATGATGACGTTTGAATAAACAGAGAAAACTCACCTCAGTTTCTTCACTTTGCAGATTGAACTCTCCAGAATCTCACACAGATGCTTCATTCCAGAGTCTCCAAAGGTTTTCCATCCACTGATCTCATCTATTATCACTTCAGTCAGATGAAGGTTGGACTTCAGAACTGAGGCCACGATTTCACAGTCAGTCTTAGTGAGAGAACAGCCACCAAGTCTGTGATTAGAGGAGATATAAAGTCAGTTCTAATGAAATCAGACAATCTGGATGATAAACACAGACTAAAACATGATGAGCAAACAGTGAAAATTTATTAGTGTAATTAGAGCTGCTACTAATAGTTATTTGAAAATCAATTAATCTATCGATTATTTTTTTTCCATTAATCGATTAATAATCATATAGCCAAAGATTTCTTACAGAAAAAATTAAACCAGGTAAAACTCAAACTTTTCCACTTGTGGAGTTCTGGATAGAGCAGATTGGCAGATATATTGTTTTGTTGTTTTTTTTAGAATCTGGGTATAATTCCTGCCCTAAGTGGGTCTCTCTGTCTGCTAAAAACAAGTATTACAGTCTCTATACTCCAGTTAATGATTAATTGATCACTATATTAGTTGATGATTATTTAAATAATTGATTTATCTTCATTATTTCAGCCCTAACTGTAATAAATGATGGGATTAAATCAAATGAGCTGCATGAAGGAAACTACTGGTGAATCTAGAGAGAAGAATAAACTGCTCTGATTCAGGTCAGACTTTAGTTCCTTTATAATAACTTTTGACTCGGTTTGCTGACATTACACTCTGGACTTGAGCCATTTAGTTTGAAAATACTTGATATCTGTCATCAAGCAGAAACTGTTGAGAGCAGGAAGTCCATTCTGCTGTGGACCTACAGCATCTCTGATTGTTTAGCCAATAAATGCTCCACATGTTGCTGCAAAACAATCTGAGAGAAGAGTGTGATGGTGAAGAAACATTTAAACATTGAGCTGACATTCATTTTGATTATAAACTGTTTTATTAACCTTTGTCTGTGGCAGGGCAGCACAAAGAAGATCTATGATTATAGAAAATGCAGAAAATAATGAGAAATCATGATACAATCTGTCCTGAGTTCTGCACCTCAGTCACCATCTAGTCTCTAGTTTCCTCGTACTCGTACTCGTCGTCTCCCGCTTTATCCGGAACCGGGTCGCGGGGGCAGCAGAATAAGCAGAGACTCCCAGACTTCCCTCTCCGCAGACACCTCTTCCCGCTCTGTTGGGGGAAGCCCTAGGCGCTCCCAGGCCAGCCGAGAGACATAGTCTCTCCAGCGTGTCCTGGGTCGTCCCCTGGGCCTCCTCAACTGACTCCTCTCGATGTGGAGGAGAACCGGCTCTACTCTGAGCCTCTCCCGAATGACCGAGCTCCTCACCCTATCTCTAAGGGAGAGCCCAGCCACCCTGCGGAGAAAGCTCATTTCAGCCGCTTGTATCCGGGATCTCGTTCTTTCGGTCATGATCCAGATTTCATGACCATAGGTGAGGGTAGGAACGTAGACCGACCGGTAAATTGAGAGCTTTGCCTTTTCGCTCAGCTCTCTCTTCACCACGACAGACAAGTGCAGCGTCCGCATTATTGCAGCAGCCGCACCAATCCGTCTATCGATCTCCCGCTCAATTCTTCCCTCACTTGTGAACAGGACCCCAAGATACTTGAACTCCTCCACTTGAGGAAAGGACTCTCCTCCAACCTGAAAGGGACAAGCCACCTTTTTCCAGTCGAGAACCATGGCCTCGGATTTGGAGGAGCTGATTCTCATCCCGGCCGCTTCACACTCGGCTGCGAACCGCCCCAGCGCACGCTGTAGGTCTTGGCAGGAGGGAGCCAGCAGAACTACGTCATCCGCAAAAAGCAGGGACGAGATCCGCTGTTCCCCAAACCAGACCCCCTCTGGTCCTTGGCTGCGCCTAGAAATCCTGTCCATAAAAGTTATGAACAGAACCGGTGACAGAGGACAGCCCTGTCGGAGTCCAACATGCACTGGGAACAGGTCCGACTTAATGCCGGCAATGCGAACCAGACTCCTGCTCCGCTTGTACAGAGAATGGATGGCCCTTAATAAAGGGCCCCCGACTCCATACTCCAGGAGCACCCCCCACAGGGCAGCACGAGGGACACGGTCGAATGCGTTCTCCAAGTCCACAAAACACATGTGGACTGGTTGGGCAAACTCCCATGAACCCTCAAGCACCCTGCAGAGGGTGTAGAGCTGGTCCACCGTTCCACGGCCAGGACGAAAACCACACTGCTCCTCCTGCAGCCGAGGTTCGACAATCAGCCGGACTCTCCTCTCCAGCACCCTGGCATAGGCCTTTCCGGGGAGGCTGAGAAGTGTGATTCCCCGATAGTTGGAACACACCCTCCGGTCCCCCTTCTTGTGGAGGGGAACCACCACCCCAGTCTGCCAATCCAGGGGGACTGTCCCCGACCTCCACGCGATGTTGAAGAGATGTGTCAACCATGACAGCCCGACAACATCCAGAGCTCTGAGATACTCAGGATGGATCTCGTCCACCCCCGAAGCCTTGCCACCGTGGAGTTTTTTGACTACCTCGGTGACTTCAGCCTGGGTGATGAACGAATCCAGCCCCAAGCACCTCGTCTCTTCTTCCCCCACGGAAGGCGTGTCTGTCGGGTTGAGGAGATCCTCAAAGTATTCCTTCCACCGCCCGACAATATCCTCCTTCAAGGTCAGCAGCTCCCCACTCCCACTGAAAACAGTGTTAGTGAAGCACTGCTTTCCCCTCCGGAGACGCCGGACGGTTTGCCAGAATCGCTTTGAGGCCAACTGATAGTCTTTTTCCATGGCCTCTCCAAACTCCTCCCAGGCCCGAGATTTTGCCTCTGCAACCGCCCGGGCCGCGACACGCTTGGCCTCACGGTACCTGCTTGCTGCTTCAGGAGTCCCACAAGCCAGCCAGGCTCGATAAGACTCCTCCTTCAGCTTGACAGCATCCCTTACTATCGGTGTCCACCACCGGGTTTGGGGAATGCCACCACGACAGGCACCGCAAACCTTACGGCCACAGCTACGGGCAGCTGCATCGACAATGGAGGCAGAGGAGACAGCCCATTCGGACTCCATGTCTCCAACCTCCCTCGGAACCTGAGAGAAGCTCTCCCGCAGGTGGGAGTTGAACACGTTCCTGACCGAGGGCTCCACCAGACGTTCCCAGCAGACCCTCACTACACGTTTGGGCCTGCCGAGTCTTTCAGGCTTCCTCCTCTTCCAGCGTATCCAGCTCACCACCAGGTGGTGGTCGGTGGACAGCTCCGCCCCTCTCTTCACCCGAGTGTTCAAGACATGCGGCCGAAGATCAGAAGATACGACTACAAAGTCGGTCATCGACCTTCGGCCTAGGGTGTCCTGGTGCCAAGTACACCGATGGACATCCTTATACCTGAACATGGTGTTCATTATGGACAATCCGTGACTTGCACAGAAGTCCAATAATGAGACACCACTCGGGTTCAGAGCTGTGGGCCCTTTCCTCCCAATCACGCCCCTCCAGGTGTCACTGTCGTTTCCCACGTGGGCGTTGAAGTCTCCCAGCAGAATGATGGAATCCCCGGGAGGGGCTCTTTCTAACACCCTCCCCAGGGATGCTAAGAAGGCCTGGTACTCCGTACTGCCGTTCGGCCCATAGGCCGAAACAACTGTCAGAGTCCTCCCTTCAACCCGAAGGCGAAGGGATGAGACCCTCTCGTCTACCGGGGTGAACTACAACACGAGACGGCTGAGCTGGGGGGAGACAAGCAGCCCCACCCCCACCCCCGCCCTCCGCCTCTCCCCGCGGGTCACTCCAGAGTAGAAGAGAGTCCAGCCTCTCTCAAGGAGCTGGGTTCCAGAGCCCTGGCTGTGTGTAGAGGAGAGCCCAACTATTTCTAGCTGGTATCGCTCCACCTCCAGCACAAGCTCTGACTCCTCCCCCGCCAGTGAGGTGACATTCCACGTCCCCAGAGCCAGTTTAAGCGCCCGCGGATCAGGTCGCCGAGGTCTCCGCCTCTGGCTGCCGCCCAATCCCCTTTGCACCGGTCCCTCATGGTTCCCCCTGCAGGTGGTGGGGCCACTGGGGGATGGCCTCGCGTCGTTCCTTCGGGCTGGGCCCGGCCGGGTCCCGCGGGGAAGAACCCGACCACCAGGCGCTCGCCGACGAACCCCAACCCCAGGCCTGGCTCCAGGGTGGGGTCCCGGCTCCGCCGTACCGGGCGACGTCACGTGCCTCGTTTTAGTCCTCGTCATAAGGGTTTTTGAACTGCTCTTCGTCTGGCCTGTCACCCAGAGCCTGTTTGCCTTGGGAGACGCTTTCAGGGGCATTTAGCCCCCGACAACATAGCCTCTGGGATCACCCAGGCACCGAAACCCCTCCACCACGTTAAGGTGGCGGTTCAAGAAGTTTCCTGTGTCCAAAAAGTGCCTATCTGTGCAGATGGGTCAGAGTTGGTGTGAGCCCATTTTAACACCAAGTTGGTTTATTATAGATCACAGGTTAACAAATATGGCTTCCTTAACCTCTTGCTTAAACCATCTCTCTTCCTTGGCCAGAATATGCATTCAGAGTAGCCCCCCCGCCTCCACCTCGGCTCTTCAGACCACTTATCTGTTATGCTAATACCTGCATACACACCCCTGCTTATCAGAGCTAAACCTACAGTAAAGCAGGTGAGGGTGTGGACTGAGGGGACTATGCTCTGGCTAGAAAATGTTCGAAGCCGCAGCAATAAATGAGAACAAGATTAATATAGATGAGTATGCCATGACTGTGTCAGCCTACATCAACAAATGCATTGAGGACGTCAGCATCACAAAGAATATCAACTCATGACCCTGTATGAATGGGGAGTTTCAGAAATCGCTAAAAGCATGGAACTCAGCCTTCAAGTCTGGTGATAGAGAGGCACAGAGGACAGCGCAATCCAACTTGAACCCTGCCATCAGATCAGCAAAGCAGAGCCACAGCCAGAAAATCCAAGATCTCTACCACAATGCCAGCAACACCAGGAGGATGTAGCTAGGCATATGAGCGATAACTGACTACAGCAGACCCTCCCCCCTGGTAGAAGTAGCAGATGATGACTTCCTAAATAGACTTAACTTATTTGGAAGGTTTGAGGCACTCAGCAGCGCTCCAGCAATGAAATGTGTTCTCCATCAGGGAAAGGAGGCACTCTGCCTTGACACACCTGACATATGGAACATTCTTTGGAGATTCAACCCAAGAAAGGCCCCAGGGCCTGATAAAATACCTGGGCGGGTGTATAAGGAGTGTGCAGATCAGCTGGCTGGTGTCCTCACAGACATTTTTAACACTTGGCTGGACCAATCCATTGTCCCAGCATGCTTCAAGTCTTCCTCCATAATTCAAAGAAGCCTCAGGTCACCTCCCTCAATGATTAGCGGCCTGTCTCCCATCATGATGAAGTGCTTCCAAAGGCTGGTTAAAGAACACATCATCTCCAGTCTGCCGCCAACATTCGACCCGTTCCAGTTCACCTACCGACGGAACCGTTCCACTGAGGACGCCACCTCTGCTGCTCTCCACCTGAGCGTGGCACACCTGGAGGAGAAGAACACCCACGATGGATGCTGTTCCTGGACTTCAGTTCAGCTTTCAGCACCATCATCCCACAGCATCTGATGGGCAAACTGGAACAGCTGCGCTTCAATACACCCCTCTGCTATTGGCTGCTAGACTTCCTCACCAACAGACCTCAGTCAGTCCGGGTCAGACAGAACACCTCTGATGTCATCAGTCTAAGCCCCTCCCCTCAGGGCTACGTCTTGAGCCCCCTGCTGTTCACCCTGATAACACATGACTGCGTCCCCAGGTTCACCACCAATCCCATGGTGAAGTTTGCAGACGACACCACGGTGGTGGGCCTCATCAGAGACGACAACGACCTGGACTACAGAGAGGAGGTGGAGCAGCTGGTGGTGCAGAGATAACAGCCTGATCCTGAAGGTGGAGAAGATCATGGTGGACTTCAGGAAGAGCCGGCCTAACCACGCTCCACTGCTCATCAACAGCTCAGCTGTAGAGGTGGTCAGCAGCACCACATTCATCACAGACACCCTCACCTGGGCTGGAAACACCACCTCACTGGTCAAAAGGGCCCAGAAGCGCTTGGACTTCCTGTGGAGGATGAGGAGAGCCCACCTGCCCCCCCCATCCTCCCCACCTTCTCCAGAAGCACCATAGAGAGCGTTCTGAGCAGCTGTCTCACTGTGTGGTGTGGAGGCTGCAGCGCCTCAGACTGGAAGAAGGTGAGAACAGCAGAGAGGATCACGGGGGCTCCTCTTCCCTCCATTAAAGACATTTCATCCAAGCGCTGTGTGTCCCGAGCCTGTGACATCATCAATGACCCCTCACCCCCCCACCATGGACTGTTCTCCCTGCTGCCCTCTGGGAAGAGGCTTCACAGCATTCAATGCAGGACCAGCAGGTTCTGCAGCAGCTTCTTCCCCACCGCCATCACACTGATGAACTGTTATGTAAAATGGGTTATTTTATTCATGAAAAATAAAAAATAGAAAAAATACAAACTGTAGAACTGTAAATATACAGTCATATTTATATTTACTATTTTTTTATGCATTTATTAATGTTTTTCAAGGCTGCACTTTAATAAATGAAATTGTCTAGAGCTGTTTTAAATGAAATTTCTTTTTGTTTATATTTGTGTATACACAATGACAAAATAAATCTGTCTAAGCCAAAAAAAGGAAAAGTCTTCTATAAGCCTTGTATGGCAACATGGGTTCTAAGAGTATTAGCCCACTATAAAAAAGTACTGCGTGGGCTTAAGTGTAATAAGCATTCATGATTAAATGTTTAAACCCTATGCAGAGCTCACTCCTCTGAAATTGCTTTTAGGGACCGTCTGAAAGTTGCAAAATAATCAGAGGAAAAGATTCAAAAGCATCACCAAGGAGAGGTGAATTATTATCAAATTCATTTCATGTGTATCTCATCTCATGTCTTTCATATCACATTTATTGGATTTGAAATACTTTTCTCAGGAATTTACCAAAGCCTAAATGACAAATGTCAGCTCTATTTTATTGTTAGATTAAGTATAAAATGAACAATGACTACGCTATAGATCACTGTAGTGCCTCCAAACTAGTAGGATAAACAGATAACCTTATCTAGTTCACACTGCAACTCTTACTTTGGGAAAAAGTGCTAAACTCTTTTTTTTTTTCTTTTTTTTTTCTTTTTTCATTGTTATTATAAGCATATAAAAGCCAATAATTACTAATGACTTAGACAGATTTATTTTTTATACAGAATTGTAAACAAAAATACATTTCGTTTAGACAAGGGCGTAGGTTTGATTTCAACTTTGGTAGGGACACTATTCTTCAGTTTCATTGGTCCTTTGCAAAAATATGCATGCTCTTTTTTTATGCTTAATGTGAGCTTCAGGGCTCATTTTGTTTAAAGAGAACAGCAGCATTTCTTGCTACATTAATACAAATCTTATAAGCACTACATGCTCTAGATGCTGTTTATCAATATGTAAAGCATAACTGGCTCTGATGAATGTAGAATTAGGACTTTTTCCACTTTGAAAAGGATTGCATTTAAATGTACCTGCAACTAAGACAGTGTCTGTTTAACCAAATATAGTCTATAATATGTGGATTTATCCTGTGTTTTCTTCTGAAGATAGAGAATTGTGCAGAGGTAAAACCCACTCTTATTTTTTTTTATCTAATATGCTCTCTCTGGATCATGCAAAATAATACATCCAAGGGACGGAAAATAAATGTATTGTATTTACATGTGCACTGGAACTAGAAGAGGAACTGACACTGAGCATTTAAAATATTAATATTAGAAGTTGTACATCTGGGCTGTAGTTACTCTGTGTAGCTAATTTCATGTATTTTATCTATGGCTGAAACAATTAATCATATTAACAAATTATTTAAATAATCGTGAACTAATTTAGTAATTGATTAATCGTAAACTGGAGTATAGAGCCACTAAAATGTGCCTTTAGCCGACAGAGCAACCCACTTAGAGCAGGAATTATACCAAGATTGTAAAAAAATATTAGCATTTAAGAAGTAAAAAAAAAAAAAGTTTTTGTCTGTCAATATTCTCCATCCAGAACTCCTCCAAAGGAAACGTTTAAACGTTGTTTTATTTTCTCTCTTTTCATCCACATCTTTCTAGTCTCTGTCTCTCTCTCCGCTAGTTCTTATCCCCCCTTTCTCTCTCACCTTCCTTTCCATGATCGTTTGATATGATTTTACTTCCTAAATAATGTTCAAAGTTTAATATGAAAGTATCAAGCAGAACCTTATGGCAAGTCATACTGTTCTGCTTGTGTAAGCAAAGCTGTTGGGCTAGCTAGCTTTAGGACATTGATTTCCAGAGCAATACTGGCTAAACAGGACACACCCAAAAGACCAGAAATGCGCAGGTCTAGTCACAGCGAGGATACTCTAAAGAGTGAAGACTTGTTGCCTCAAGGTTACTGATGGTTTCTAACATGCTTCACCTGTAGAGGTGGAAGAAGGAGGGATGAATTGACAAAGGGTATGAAGAGTTAAATTAGGAGGATTAATAATGTTAATGGATTTGAACACAGTAAGCCTAGAAATTCTGCAGATGATGCAGGGAAGAACATGGTTCTAATTAAAGGCTCAAAAACATCCTGAGGCAACTGAACCATGAAGAAGAACCAGGAGAACAACAGAGCTAAATCAGAATCAGAATGAAGACATCTGGACTCACCGAGCCTTTCTGCAGTTCCTCACAGCTGGAATCAGTCTACGTCGTCCTGCTGCTGTTGTCTTGTACTCCTTCAGGTTGAACTCATCCAGAACCTCCTCTGACATCTGCAGCATGCAGGCCAGAGCTGAACACTGGGACAAAGAGAGCTTCTCTGATCTTTTCTCTGATTTCAGGAATTGTTGGATCTCCTGATAAAGTGAGAGGTCCTTCATCTCCATCAGACACTGGAAGATGTTGATGTGTCCATCAGGAGTTGGCTGGGTTCTTTTCCTCTTAAGATTGTTGATTATCTCCTGGATGGTTTGTGGACTGTTCTCTATCTGACCCAGCAGGCCTCCCAGGAGTTTCTGGTTGGACTCCACACAGAGGCCATGAAGGAAGCGAACAAACAGGTCCAGGTGGCCATTTTTACTTCTGAGGGATTTCTCTAAGGCTTTTTTCATGAAGTCCATCATTGATGTTTCACTATATTTTTTTTCCAGAAAGTTCTCCACCACCTCTGTGTTCCTGCTAGTGAAACAGTGGAGCATGTAGATTGCAGCCAGAAACTCCTGGATGCTCAGATGAACAATGCAGTAGACTGGTTTCTGGAAGATCAAGTTCTCTCTTTTGAAGATCTCTGTACAAACGCCTGAGTACACCGAGGCCTCTGTGACATCCAGACCACACTGCTCCAGGTCTTCTTGGTAGAACATGATGTCTCCTTTCTCCAGATGTTCAAAGGCCAGCCTCCCCAGCTTCAGGAGGACTTCCCTGTCAGCCTCCATCAGCTCCTCTGGATTCGTCTCATGTCCTTCATGGTACTTCTTCTTCCTCCTGGTCTGGACCAGCAGGAAGTGTAAATACATGTCAGTCATGGTCTTGGGCAGCTCTCCTCTGTGCTCTGTGGTCAACAGGTTCTCCAGAACCGTAGCAGTGATCCAGCAGAACACTGGGATCCCACACATGATGTGGAGGCTCCTGGAGGTCTTGATGTGGGAGATGATCCTGCTGGACATCTCTTCATCGCTGAACCTCCTCCTGAAGTACTCCTCCTTCTGGGCGTCAGTGAAGCCTCGTACTTCTGTTACCCTGGAAACACAGGAAGGAGGGATCTGATTGGCCGCTGCAGGTCTGGAAGTTATCCAGACCAGAGCCGAGGGAAGCAGGTTCCCCTTGATGAGGTTCATCAGCAGAACGTTGACTGATGACTTCTGTGTGACGTCAGAAACAAGCGGACTGTTGTTGAAGTCCAGAGAAAGTCTGCTTTCATCCAGGCCGTCAAAGATGAAGAGAAGCTTCAAATCAGCCAGATTCTCTGCTGGGAGCTTCTGGAGGGTTGGATGGAAAACATGGAGCAGCGTGAGAAGACTGTGCTGCTGATCTCTGATCAGGTTCAGCTCCCTGAAGGAAAGCAGAACCACCACACTGACATCTTGGTTCTCCAAGCCCTCTGCCCAGTCCAGAGTGAACTTCTGCACTGAGAAGGTTTTTCCAACACCAGCGACGCCGTTGGTCAGAACCACTCTGATGGCTCCATGTTGGTCAGGGAAGGCTTTGAAGATGTCGTGGCACCTGATTGGAGAATCATGGAGGTTCTGGATCATTGAAGCTCTCTCCAGCTGCTTCACCTCATGTTGGGTATTAAACTCTTCACTCTGTCCCTCTGTGATGTAGAGATCAGTGTAGATCCTGTTGAGGAGGGTTCTACTTCCTGTTTGATCGCTTCCTTCAGTCACACATTCACATCTCCTCCTCAGACTGATCTTATGTTCATCTAGAACCTCCTGCAGACCAACATCTGCTGAAACACAGAAGAAAAGACGACTGAAGATTTGTGATTTCCCAGATTAAAATGCAGAAATTTATTTAGAATATTTGATCTCAGAAAGACTTTGAAAAGCTTGAAACTTCAAATCCAACTAAAGACAGAATTGGTTGAACAGGGACGATAGAAGGAAGCTCTGATTGGAGATGGTCAATCTTACCTGTTGCAAAGCTGCTCTGATTGGCTGTCAGAGATCCATCTCCAGTTCTAGGTCTTTTTCCACACTGGGGGCAGGAGGAGGGTTCTGATGAAGTAGACTGGGCCCAGTGAGACCCAATGCACTGTCTGCAGAACCAGTGTCCACAGCTGGTAGAGACAGGATCCATCAGCAGGTTTTGACACAGAGCACAGCAGGACGGCTGCTCCTCTTCACTAACACTTTTCCTCTTCCTCCGTCTGTGGAGACATTTGTTCATCACTGAAATAGTTCACTACCAACAGGGAGGGTGGGTGTGTGTGTGTGTGGGGGGGGGGGGGGGTCGGGGGGGTTCTGTCCTACTACAGATGTTAATGAAGGCCCATCACAGAAAAAGTATCAGAAGCTGGATCACAATGGAACCTCAGATCATTGATGCTGTCTGGGTTTTAAGTACATTGTCTTGTTTTTATAATAACTACAGGTACTATAAGATTATTTCTTCTGTTTTGTTTTTTGTTCATGGAAAAAAGGTAAATGTTTATATCATGAGATGGACAAAATAAATACTCTAAATAAGTCACATTGCACGCTCACAGGCATTACAACAAAGCTTTCATGCTAATATGCATTTTAAAACATTGAATAGAATCTAAAAAAAAAAAAAACCCTGTAAAATGATGATATGAAATTAAAGCCACAAGGAGCCTTGGACAGCCTTTGCAGCTCAGCATCGCTTGGCGTATTGAGACAGCTGGACCCACGCACCACCGTCACCATGCCTATGTCAGTTTGGCCCAAATCCAAGGGTGTAACTTTACAATAAAAGTTGGTGGGGGCGCTCTAAGGGTGGGGGCTGATGGACCTACAGCTACTCAACCTGAACGCTTTCAATAGGGTTTATATTTTCCAAAAATGAGCTCAAACATATATTTATTGAATGCTTTACTATTGTTGAGAACACAATAGTACCACAGTACATGTGTGGTATTTATAGTTATAGACAGATGCCTGCCTTTAGTGCATTATTCTATAAAGGGCTCATAAAACATTAATGTATAAAAATGATGAATAACAGCCAATGCCAACATCAATATATCCTGCATCCCTAGAATGGACACAACTTCAGCTCCATCCATCCATCCATGCATGGCTTCCCTTTAAGCTGCATCACTGATCATCCTCCTTCACAATTAGCTAAATTAAATTAGAAAGTTGTCCCTAATGTCATTGACAGCTTTTACAAGGAATTCCTAAACACCTTTCTGCTTCTTCACTTGTGCCTTGAAATGATATAATGGCTTTAGAAAAGTCATTAGGGGTTTGTTTGATGTTTCTGGTACTTTTATTCCTCAAATGATAGTCCCTATGGATCTATAACAAAGGCTCTAGGTGGAATATGTACCCTGCAAATCAGATGGGTGAGGATTCTGGCCAGACTCCTTCCTCTCAAGGTTTATTCAACATGTCATTGTTTTCTTCTGCTGTCTGTAACTTGTTTTTGATTAACTGTACGTGAAAAACCTTCACAGCTTTTTGCAGGCTTTAAGTAGTTTGTAAAATCCTGTGTGACCAGAACAGAAAGGAGCAATGGCAAGACTGTATGTTCTCTCTTGCAAGGTTTGAGAAATTATAAGTAAGAATTATAAGTAAGAAAGTAAGAAATTATAAATAAGACATGCAATTTTTTTATATTAAAAATCAAATGTCTGCAGACACCCTGTCGATGATAAAGCTATCTCAAAGTCTGCGACCAGCTGTGTGGCAGATGCACTAACAGCTGCCTGCTGGTATTGTTGACAGAGGTGTGAGGTAACTAAGTGTAAATAGTTTGTTGCTGTACGCAAGTAGCTTTTCCAATATCTGTACTTTAGTTGAGTATTTATTTATTTGTGGACTTTTCTCTTTTACTCGCTGCATTTGAACAAAAATAACTGAACATTTCCCTCATTATCTCCAGAGTGTTTCGTCATGCAGGAAAAAAAGAAGAGAATCTGTCCAACTGGATCCCAGTTATAGAAAAGCCCTGATAGAGACATGGATGAAGACAGGAGGCTGGAAAACACTGCAGATGATGGATCAGATTCTGGGAAGCAGGACATTCTCCATCTATTCCCCCTTTAGCAGGTGTTTAATATACGTATTGATTATGTTTCAAGTTTTATTTTTGTTTTAATGCTATTTGTAGCTTTAATGCTGAAAATGTCAGATCTCTAAAAGTATTCAGCTGTTCATCAAGGACTGAGGTTCAGTTTCTATCATCCTGTCTGAAATTATAATTTAGAACAAAACTTGACTGAGTCAGATTATTTCATTGCTTCTCTACCAACACAGGGAGAAAAGGAGGATAATGAACTCATATCTGTTCCTAGAATTGAAAAGTAGAGTTTTCTAAGTTATTTTGTTTCATTTAAGGAAAAAAATGATTTTACTCTTCTACTTAACTACAATGTAGTAACTGTACTTTTTAGTTGTACTTAATTAAAGGAGTTCAATCAGTAGTTTTAACAGCTCTGATTGCTGATCAAGCTCTGCACTGGTGGCAGCATGATGCTGCAGCTTCCCTCTCATCAGAGAACGTTCCTGGAGCTGGTTGGACGTCCTGAAGCTTCTTTTCTGCAGCTGAACTTCTCAGCTTAAAGTTCAGTCTGACTTAGTTTCAGTGGTGTCTAAAGTTCACACATTAGTTACCTCAGTAGAAGTATAGATCCTGCAGTTTAAAAACACTCTGGTAAAAGTTGAAGTATCAACTTGACCTCTTTACTCAAGTAAAAGTGCAAAATCTATGTACTCTAAAATCTACTTAAAGAATAAAAGTAAGCTTTAGAAAACAGCCAGATGCCACTATATGAACTGAAAGCTCAATTTTTGGACTATGTCTATAAATTCTCTGAGATAGGGCCAAGGATGAGGGAGGTCTGGTTGGTCTCCGTCTCCCGATACGCTCTCGCCTGTGTCCGACCTTTCAGACATTTCAGCATCTTTTTCTGAATCCCACATTGTAGCATGGCATAGACAATTCACGTTAGCAGTTTGAAGAACACCTGCTGGCTTCTGATGGTTTCCTTTAGCTAACCAATGAGTGTTTGCGTTCTATGACTCATCCAATCACACTAGTTTTCACTAGATGTGGGTGGAGCCAATGATCTGCATTGGATGGAGCACATAACGGGAAATAAAGATTTAGAAACATTAAAACAGGGGGAACCAATTAAAAACCAGTTGGGTCCGAAAAAAGAAAATCATCAACCAGTAAAGGTCTGGAGACATTTTTAATTAATTAAATCAAACAGAATTTAACAATGAAATAAAATTAGGTGTTTATGCATCCATGTTATACATTGAACTTTTAAATACAGAAATATAAAAAAAAAAGAAAATATTTCCATATTAAAATCTAAAGTGTTTTTTGAAGTAGAGAACAACAATCGTTCAGTTTGGTTTATAGACAATTTCCTGATTCCCATATTTTCTCAGACACCTGAACTGATCATTTGTTATTTTCCTTATTTTTTCTGTCTTAATGTTGGCAGTGGGCTTTAGGCTGCCCTGCAAGGCTTTAAACCTGGGTTTAAATGGAGACTAAGCCATTCTCAAGCATGGCTTTTTCCCCATGCTTGAGAATGGCAAGCATGGTCCGGCCCGGCCAGGTCAAGATCCGCTATTGCAATCGCACCAAACAGGAAAAAGAACACCAAGAAGATCCGGTAACAGATCAGTAATTACAAATTAGAGCTTGATTGTTATATATTTCAAAAAAACTAACACCGTTTATTTAAAATACTGGATGCAAACTATTGGTCCTTCAACAGACCAGGAAGCAGATTTCTCATCAGAAACTGCACATCTGCTGGATGCTGATGGGGATTTTTTAAATATTTCATACTAAATTAAGCATTAATTTTAGCATGTTTTGCTCCTATGAATTTAATGGTAATATCATGCATGCTCTCCTCGAGCTCTGAGGATAAGTCGGAGCTCAGCAATATGGGAGGAACAGCGGAGGCTGTAGGCTTTGCTTTGAGCAGGAGGTCTGGATGCTGCGGAGCGGAGATGGAGGATGAGGGATTTCAGGGTAACAGGGGAAGCGGCGGAGACGGCTAATCCCTGACCTCTGCATTAAACCGAAGCCAAGAGTAATGACTAACGTTTGTTTTAAAAATGTGAGGAATAGAAAGTAAAGATACTTGTGTGAAAATGTAATGAGTAGAAGTCAGAGGAAGGAAGAAAACAAAGTAATGGAGTAAAATATAGATATCAGAAAGTTTACTTAAGTACTTTAACAAAGTATTTGTACTTTGTTACTTGACACCTTTGTTTACTGTGTGAGATATAATGGAAAAAATAAATCCAGAAATTACAATATCTAACTTTTTACCTATTTATTTGTATGATACAGCTGCAAATAAATATGTGAACACCTGAGAAAATCAATGTTAATATTTGGTACAGTAGCCTTTGTTTGCAATTACAGAGGTCAGACGTTTCCTGTAGTTCTATTTCATCCCTACTGACCGCCAGAGGGCGGTGCTGAAAGCACTGAATGTTCCCTTCGGGCATGCGCAGTTCGAGTAATTATACCAACAGAGTCACACCTGTGACACCGGATGACCACTCAGAAGCTATATAGCCTGGTGTCATCCTTTGCTCTGCTCCTTTTTTCTTCTCGCAAGCGGTTCGCTAACTTCCCCGTTGTCTGAAGCCCCTGTCTCTTGACTGGAGTTGCAGTTATTCTCCGCCCTCCCAGGGCTGCAACGGGTCGATTCTGAGGATTACGGAAGGTAAGTGAGTTGTTTGCTGGTGATGGTAGCGTCCGCGCCCCCTCTCCCGGCTCACGGCTTTAGCTTTTTACCTACAGCTTCGTGCTGTTTTGTTTCGAACTGGTGACGGCAGCGATTTCGCCCCTACTCCCAGTGTGAATAACTTCACTGCCGAAGTATATACGGCTAACGTAGTTAGCTTCTTTAGTTTGTTGGTGTTATACCTGGTGACGGCAGCGGTTTTCGCCCCCTCTCCCAGTATATTTCCTACTTTTGCAGCCTTCTTCATCGTCTGCTTTGTTATAAATGGTGACGGCAGCGTTTTTCACCCCCTCTCCCAATATCGACCTTTTTGGCAGTCTTTTCCTTGGTCTGCTCTCTTAATTGGTGACGGCAGCGTTTATCGCTCCTACTCCCAACTTAACTTGCCATACAGCTAACGTTGTTAGCTTTTTTGGTTTATTGGTTTTATTCCTGGTGACGGTAGCGGTTCTCGCCCC